ATTCTGATAAAAAGCGGGATTTATGTAAACGAGCAACATACCGTGCACTGCATTCTCATCTCACATATTTTGAATTTTCGAACTTAATTTTCTTCCTATAGTCATGTTAGGTTTGGTGTCTTAGCACAGTCCTCGGCATGTAACTGTGGAGCTGATAATGAAACAGTAAAACACTTTTTGTGGATTGTATTGACTATGAAGAGTAGCGAAAGGATATGTTTCAACAGATACGCCGTATTATAAATTCCCGTATCACTTTAGATCACATACTACTCCACCATCACTCTATCCACGCATTGACTAGAGATGACCTACCATCAATTTTTAATTTTATTCTTCAATATATTCGTTCAACCAAACACTTTGATTGATTTGATGTCGTCTTGTATGGTTTGTTCTTACACAGTGTCGCATGGATGGACTTCTCTCTGCTTACTCAAATTTCTCTATCTCTCTCATCACCATCTCTCATTTTTTTTCTTTTTACTCTGTTATCTGTTTTATGTTTTATTAATGTTTCATTTTATCGAATAGGTCCAGACATGCAATGATTTTATTTCGATTTGCTGCTCTTTTTATCGTTGTTTTTTTTGCTGTTGGCGTTAAATAAAGTTTGAGTATATCAAATAAGTAACAACTTTTGTAGAAAGTATATTCAAGAAAATATCGACGGTGCCTATGTGACGATTCTTTGTCACAACCTTTCTTTCTAGTATGTGCATCTTTCGGTACGACTACTCTCCTTTGTTTCGTTCTGTTCGTTGTCTGTTCTTTTCGTGCTTTGTTCTTTTGCAGTTCTTGTCTTTTATGATTCAGTAGAAAATGCATATATTAGGTGTTTTTCTTTTGTCAGAGTTAGTTTTTTGTAGTTTGTGATAAAGAGTAGTCAAATAAAAGAGTGATACTACATATCTTAACGCACGCTTACAATCAACTCAAGGGCTTATAATTGGGGGCAATATTAGTCGTCTCAGCCTATAAATCAAAAACAACATAAACGCAATATGCGAGGAGTGTATCATGTTAAAACTGTTGTAACCTTTATTCTTACTAACAATTTCGAATTTGATAAATCATGACGTTTATGTTAACATTATAAATTTTTCTGCATAAGTAGATCAGTCTGAGCATCAGAGCCAAGATAAAAAATATGGTCTCCAACAATTTCAAAACCGTGTTTGCGATAAAATGACTGCGCCCTTCCATTATGTTCCCAAACGCCAAGCCAAATAACATCACAGTTATATTTTTTGGCAATTTCGATGCATTCTTCCATTAATTTTGTTCCGACACCTTTGCCCAAATACTCTTGTGTCGAATACAGGCGAACAAGTTCAACGGGTCTTTTTGCAATGATTCCATGTTCATAGTTGCCAAAAGTCAATCTGGCATAGCCAACCGCGTCCGATTTGATTTCTGCAATAATAAAAATTGTTTTATCGTCTTTCAGTTCCTTGTAAATCTGCTCATGGGTGAAAGCCACATTTACATACGCTGTTATATTTTCAAGCGTGTTTTTTGGATGATTATAAAATGTATCCCAAAACGTTTGATACGAAAGTTTCTGTAACATTTCGACATCTTCAATATTTGCTTGGCGCGTTTTAATTTCTGCCATAAGAGGAGAAGTCAATTTCTTTTAAGCCTGAAGTCGAATAAAGATAAGTGAAGAAGAAAAAAAAACATGCGAATAAAGAGAAAAATGAAAGAGATAAAAGGGTGAGTAAATATTTCAAAAGATCTAAGAAGAAAGATGTGGAAGAAGAAAAACGTATATTATGGACGGTTATCTACTTTATCGGTGATGAACTTCACATACGTAGAAGAACGAAAGAATTATATTAACTCAGAAAATTTTTATTTACTTCATGCCTTTGGTTTATGTTTAAAAAAGTTAATTCGAATGTATAAAAACAACGTACTGCAGTATTTATTTTCAAAAACATAGAAATAGATGGAAGATGCTTTCACCGTGTTCTTGTAGTATGAGTGAGACTGAGTGTAACGCCACAAAGCAAAACATAATTATGAGTTCTTTTCCCTTAAACTTTATTTATTCGCATTTTACGAATGCGACAGCCATCCATCCTACTAGACCGTATTTCGTTTAGCGGCTTGTTCAGCTAGCAGTCTCCGTTTTTCGCTCTTTTTCAATGATCTATAGCAATAAAGTTAGAAAATAATCTAAAATTACAACTAGATAATTGAGTAGATTAAACATTTCCCTATAAAATGAAAAGTGTCTCGGCTCTGAGCGTTGATTCGTTATGAAAATACAGCTGTTGTACAAACAGCCCCAAAAATCGATGTTGAGGCTATCTAAAAGACGTGTCTAAAAGAGCGAAGACGAGCTGGCAAAAATTGAACAAGTATACCAGTTTGTAGAAAATTGTTTGCTCTGCAAGATGTGATAGCTTGTCAAGTTCGAACCTATTCTAATTAATCTGTATTAATCAAAGAAAAACTAGAAAAATCGTAACGCCGTGACACTTTTGATCGTTTTTTGTCACAGCGTCACGTTTTTTCTAGTTTTTCTTTGATTAATACAGATTAATTAGAATAGGTTCGAACTTGACAAGCTATCACATCTTGTAGAGCAAACAATTTTCTACAAACTGGTATACTTGTTCAATTTTTGCCAGCTCGTCTTCA